AAAAAAAAAAACACACTTTTTATCTAAAGGATCTTTTAGTATAAAGGTAGTACTACTATCCTTCAAATAGTGAGTATCAGTTCAATTCTGATAAAGATCATAATAAAAACTTTATTTAAAAAAATTTAAAAAGATTAAATTTTAAACATTTTTTTTTATTAAGGCCGGTTTTGCAGTATACTAATACTATAAGGCTAATAATTAATAAGCTTAATATTAGATTAATCTAATAATTCATATTTATACCAAAATGTAGGGACTCTCTAATAAATAGAATGAAATATTTTTATTCTATTTTTATTAGATATTATGGATACTTAGAACCGAGGATAGTAGGAATAAAAAGTATAAGTTAATTATATAATATGAGCTCCTGGCTATCTTCGACTAATGCAAAAGAAATAGGTACACTTTATCTAATTTTTGCTTTATTTTCTGGAATGTTAGGGACTGCTTTTTCAGTTCTTATTAGAATAGAATTATCATCTCCTGGTGTTCAATTCCTACAAGGAGACCATCAACTTTTTAACGTGATCATTACCGCTCATGCTTTCTTGATGAGTGCGCCCTTTCACTGCCCCGTGTTAAAGGAAACCTTTGGGCGATTTCCCTACGTATTGCAGGAACTTTTTATAGTATACGTAACCCAGGTCACTACCTACCATACCGCTAATAACGATTGGTACGGTGTAGCAAGTGACAAAAAGATCCATAGAGTGGGGCTGCCCCTACTAGCTAGAGATCCCAGGGTAAGTTCCCAAGCCGAGGATGACAAACTTGATACACTACGACAGGATCAGAAAGAACCTCGCATCCTAAGCAGAATATGTCGGTGCGTGTTTGGCATAAGTAAATACTTCTTAATAATAGTATTGAAAGTTACTACTGATATCATCAACTTTAGTAATATCTTGCAAGCCAAATGTCACTCTAATGAAGAGAACAAAGTAGTGCAAGCGACTAAAGGAACGGCCCTTGACTCCAACAAGGTCAAAAATAAACACGGAGCGGGAACTGGGGATCCAACCGCCTCTGGTGACAACAACAAGCGGAGACGGAGTCGTCATAGTAGCAATATCGCGAAGGACAACAGCCTGAAAACGCCAATGGGAGCAGACAAAATTTCGAAATCTTCCAGTCATAATAATGCAGAAGAAATGCTTCGTAGAGTAGTTAGCAAACAATTGGACAACTATCGAGATCAAAAACAAGGAGGAAAGTACAACGGAGTGATACGAATAATAGCGGATCCTAAATTTTTATTTGATTGCTACAAGTTAATCAAAAGCAACCCAGGTAACATGAGCAAGGGAACTTTACCCGAAACTCTTGACGGAATAAATATGGACTGATTTCATCAAAACGCTCAATCTATGCTTACTGGTAGTCTTGATTTTAAACCTGCCAGACAAGTAATGATTCCCAAAGCTAACAGCAGCAAACTTAGACCACTATCAATAGGACAACCTAGAGAAAAAGTTATCCAAAAGGCGATACAGATTTTACTAAGTGCTATCTACGAACCTTTATTTTTACCCGTTTCTCATGGGTTTAGACCAAATAAAGGTACACACTCGGCATTAGACATTCTACATTTTAGGGGTGCGGTTCACTCTTGGGTTATACAAGGAGATATCAGCAAATGCTTTGATAGTATTCCACACGAAGTTATAATGAATTGCTTAAAGAGCCAACTTGCTTGTGTTAGAACCCTTACAATAATAGAACGAGCACTTAAAGTAGGTATTATAAATGAAAAGGGTGTAAGAATCAGAGGAACAATAGGTACTCCTCAGGGTAGTATTATGTCGCCAACATTGGCCAATATTGTTCTACATGAACTTGATCTTTTCTTTGAAAATACTCTTAAACCCGAATATACTTCAGGTGAAAGAAGAAGAGCTAACCCTCTCTATACTCACTTCTCAAACATTAGACGAAGAGCTCGATTTAATAAAGTAAGCCCCGCAAGAAGAGCAGACGCTTTGAAACAATTACGAAGTTTACCTCGTCAAGATATGTACGACCCTAATTTCAGACGAATAATGTATGTCAGATATGCTGATGATTTTGTAGTACTGTTTTCAGGTACAAAAATGGAAACAATGAACATTAGAGATAAAATAAAAATATTTCTTAATAATGTTTGTGGCCTAGATTTAAACTTAGACAAAACAACAATATCAAACTTAAGGACGGGTTTTCACTTTTTAGGTGCTTTCTTGAAAAAAAGAGATAATTCAGGAATTATGAATAAAGCGATAAACCAGGTAAACCGACTTATCACCAGAAGATCCTCATTAAGACTAGGAGTCGATGCCTCTATAAACAACATTATTTTAAAACTAATTGACAAAGGATACGCTAGAAGAAATCATAAGGGAATTGTTTTAGCCAAAGGGCTAACACACCTTATACACCTCGATCACTTCGAAATCCTTAAATTCTTTCAAGCTAAAATTAACGGTATCCTCAACTTCTATTCTTTTGCCGGGAATCGTTCAAGTCTACATAAGGTATTCTGGATTCTAAGACAATCTTGTGCTTTAACTCTAGCCAGAAAATTTAAATTGATAACTATGCGTAAAGCATTTTCCCTTTTTGGGTTTAACCTTCTAGATCCAAAAACAGATACCCTACTAGATATACCAAAAAAACTAGAAAGACTATCCGAATTTAAAACTAAAGGACCAATAGATGAGGCTGATCTTGACGGAATCCTAAATGAAAAATGGTCAAATAAGCTAACAGTTAGCAATTCTATGGGTGCTTGTGCTTTGTGTGGTACTACTAGTCAAATTGAAATGCATCATCTCCGAAAAGTGAAAGATGTTAGACAGAAGATCAGAACAGGTAACATTACCTTCGCACAATGGCAAGGAGCAGTACTTAGAAAACAAATTCCATTATGTCAGTATCATCATGATCTCTACCATAAAGGTTTACTTAGTCATGCCGATTTAAACGTAATGGGTAAATACTCTAAAAACATGAAATAATTTATTCTCCTTTTTTTGTACATACCCTTCTTTTCTTTTTGTTCTCCGATTTAATTGGAAGTTTTCAGGTTGAGAGCCGTATGATGGGAAACTATCACGTACGGTTCGGGGAGCAGTTGCAAAGCGCGCTGACTCTACTATTTTTTATGGTTATGCCTAGTTTATTAGGTAGTTTTGGTAACAAATGTTCAAGTTCACTCCAAGTCATTTCCTCCACTAAATTTTCTTCCAGCCTCCTACCACTCTACTGCTCTATACTGCACTCCCTGCAGTACACAGTTCGCCACTACACTCTACTCTATTGTACTTTTGTGCCTTTATGGTTGTGGTTTTTCGCTATTTGCTTTTGCTTTTGCGTAATAGCGGGTAATGGCGTCTGGTTCTTCAATTGTCCTTTTGGGTTATTGGGGATAGGTGGAATGGAATGGACAATTTTTTTTTTTAATTTTAATTTAATAAGTTTGTTCAACATAAATAGTTCTAAAAAAATATTATTTAAATCACAAAACAATGTTTTATTAAATGAAAATTCTAATCTTGGTCCTTATTTGGCTGGTTTAATCGAAGGAGATGGTACTTTTGCCATACACGATATTAAATCTACAGCTAAAATTTATAGACCAAAAATAATAATTGTTTTTAAATTAGCCGATTTGCCTTTAGCTGAATACTTACAAGATTTAACTAAAAGCGGAATTGTATATAAAAAACAAGATAGAGGTTATGTATTGTGGCAAATACAAGATATTATAGGGGTTTATACTATTGTTAATATTATTAATGGTTATATGAGAACGCCTAAAATTGAAGCTTTACATAGAACAATCAAATGGTATAATAAATATATAGATATAAATCAACATAGTAAACTTCCTAGTACAAAATTAATAATATCAAAAATAAAAGAAATAGAAATGAAAGATTTAGATAATTCATCCATTGAGAGTAATGCATGGTTATCGGGTTTTACAGATGCGGATGGAAATTTTTCAATTAATATATACAAAATAAAAAATAAAAATTCGATAAGAATTCAATTATATTATAGATTAGAAATTAAACAGAGTTATAACAGGATCAATAATGACGGGGAAAATGTTTCTTTCTTCGCCATAATGTCTAAAATATCTAAATTTCTCGAGACCAAAGTATATAGTAGAAATAGAATTATTAATGATAAAGAATTTTTTAGTTTTATTCTAATGAGTAGCTCTAAAACTAGCTTAATTAAAACTAATTTATATTTTTATAAATTTCCACTTCTTTCCTCTAAATTGTTAGATTATAAGTCATGGTCCCATATTTTAGAATTACAACAAAATAGTAAAATGACTACTGCTTATTTAAATGAAGCAATCAAAACAAAAACAGATTTTAATAAAACTAGAACTACATTTTCTTGGGATCATCTTAAAAATTGTGACTTAACTAAATAAAAAAATCAAAATTAAAAAAAAAATAATAGTTGCCGTGGTTAGTTGTGAAATTAATCTTATTACGTTACTATATGCGGGAAAATCCTAAAATTATCTTATAGAACTTTCTGAAAACTTAAATTATTAAATTTAAAAATAAAAAGCGTACAGTGGTCTTAATAATTAAGATAGATATTACAATGGACAATCCGCAGGAAACCAAATCTTTTATAAAAAATAATTAAAGAAAGTAGGATCCTCAGAGACTACACGTAACGCGGTTATATATATTTTTTTTTT